CCTGGGTTCAGGCAATTCTCCTGCCTCAGCCTCCTGAGTAGCTGGGATTACAGGCATGCGCCACCATGCCCAGCTAAGTTTTTGTATTTTTAGTAGAGACGGGGTTTCACCATGTTGACCAGGATGGTCTCGATCTCTTGACCTCGTGATCCACCCGCCTCAGCCTCCCAAAGTGCTGGGATTACAGGCGTGAGCCACCGCGCCCGGCCTTAGGGCTTCCAAGTCTTTTAACCTTACTTTTGCAAAAAGTAACCAATGTCTTATCATCTGAAATTTATGAAAATAACAGAAACACATCAAGTCATCTTCCTGGATTTATTTCCCTATAATTTTAGCTATCTGGGTAATAATAGACACTGTTACTATGCTGCCTGGTCATGAAACACAGTAGCTGGAGCAAATCAGGAAGAAATTTTACTTCCTCTAGACTCTCTATGACCTTGAACAAGTCACTTAAATCTTTCAGGGTCAGTGTTTCTCATATGTAAAAACAAGAGACTTAAGTGTGTGGTACAAAAAATAAGAATCCTCCAAATTTTAAACAAGTGCATTCTCAGTGTTTTGGGCATACTTGGAACAAAGCAGCTTGCACGAAGTACTAAGAACATCAAACATCCAGGAAGAATAAAGTTTTCGGGAGCTATCCAAGTTAGAGACTACATAAAATCCGACTTATCAATGATGGGGTATCTGACCATGAAAGATAAAAGCTACAGTTCTAAGATATGATCAGGATATGTTACAGATGTACATACAGAGGAATTATTCACTGCATACAAATGATAGGTTTGTGGGGGTTTTTGTTTTGGGAGAGTGATCAAATTTGCCAATTTCATAAATGAAAATTTGGTAAAGATGCAATTTGGTGGACAACACAGCTTTGCCTCAATTTGTGAAGAGAATCTGAGTTGTAATAAGAGCCATGAAAAATGGTGTAAGGTTAACTCAGACATGGTGGTACACACTTGTAGTCTAAGCTACTAGGGAGGCTGAGGTGGGTGAATCACTTGAGCCCAGGAGTTCAAGGCCAGCCCAGGCAACATAAAGAGATCACTCTCTTTAAAAAAAAAAAAAGGTAAGGTTATATATAACTTACCCTGGAGTTTACCTTAGTGATACAAAGCTAAAGCTGTTGCTAAATTCTGTTATTTTGTTACAGCATTTGTACACTGATGCCCTGTAGAGAAACTGGAAAACCCTATTAGGTTAAACATGATTTCTGAGAGGCTGGCAGACAGATTCCAAAATAAAATGAAGTTCTAATTTAGAATGATTGTACTCTTTCTTTACTAGGGTGTCCTGAGATGTCTATATCCTCTAAAAAGATGCTGTTAGTCGAAAATGAAATACTGCATGTTCTCACTCATAGGCGGGTGTTGAACAATGAGAACACATGGACACAGGGAGGGGAGCACTACACACTGGGGTCTGTTGCGGTGGATAGGAGAGGGACAGCGGGGGGTGGGGAGTTGAGGAGAAATAGCATGGGGAGAAATGCCAGATATAGGTGAAGGGGAGGAAGGCAGCAAATCACACTGCCACGTGTGTACCTATGCAATTATCTTGCATTTTCTTCATATGTACCCCAAAACCTAAAATGCAATTAAAAAAAAAAAGATGCTGTTAGTCACACAAGTGGATAGACATTTATGGAGGGCAAGGTGCTAAATGTCACCAAAACAGCTACTATAGAGTAAGTACAGTAAAGCAAGGGTAAAGATTACCCATAGTACTTATCATGTTGATGGAAACTGCTTGTTAATTTGTCTTCCTTGCTAGCCTGTACGCTCCATGAGGACAAAGACAACATGGGCCTAGTTCACTGCTGAATCCCTGACATAGAGTATGCACTCAACAAATATTTGACTGATTGAATACAGAGATACCATAATTCAAAGTCTAGTCATGAGCTTTAGAAATGTAAGTTCTCGTGTCATCTATTCATCTAAGGATGACTGGGATCTACTAATTAAATTCACAAGGATCTGATTTAATAAACCAAAGTCCTACATAGGGGATATTAACTGGAATAATAATTGATGTTTGTCATCTGAATATAGCATCTTTTACTGGTCAACTAGGGGATTAAACATTAGAACAGAAGGTTCTTTGTGAGAAGAAGATTAAAGTATATACAAGTAGAAGATTTTAAAGAAAACATTGTTAAGTTACAGTTGACTGATCCTTACTCTGTTTAAAGGATATCTGTTTAAAGAACAGATAATCTTTTACAATCAAATCACCACCTCAAATTAGTACCAACCAATTTTTTTACAAGCCAGCCATCATTTTTCCTTTTTCAATATTCTGTATCAGTTACCACCAGCAATTCCACTTTTTTTTTTCTTTTTGAGATGAAACTTTGCTCTTATTGCCCAGGCTGGAGTACAATGGTGCAATCTTGGGTCACTGAAAACTCTGCCTCCCAGGTTCAAGCAATTCTCCTGCCTCAGCCTCCTAAGTAGCTGGGATTACAGGTGCATACCACCATGCCCAGCTAATTTTTGTATTTTTAGTAGAGACAGGGTTTTGCCATTTTGGCCAGTCTGGTCTTGAACTCCTGATCTCGGGTTATCCACCCGCCTTGGCCTCCCAAAGTGCTAGGATTACAGGCATGAGCCACCTTGCCTAGCATAGCAATTCTACTCTTAAAGTATTACTCTGTGTTATAATTTAAAACAATAAATGTTATCTTTTTGCTACTTACATTTTAATTTATAGAATTCCAAATGTGACTTTAGAGTTCCTTTAAACTCAATAGCTACACATTTATAGAGTTTGGGGAAAATGTCTGCAAATCGTTAATTCTGTATTTTGTAAATCTTTATTTATGCTCTTTGTGTTCAATAATGCTTCCTTACCTGATCCCCAAATAATGGGGTCTTAGCTTCATCTTTTGGGTTTATAGTCCTGTACCTACCTACTACTGCAGGAGAAACAGGAAGGCAGATAAAAGAAGTATCTTAGGGCATTGATTTTAAACCTGATTTTGGTACAGACCACTATGAGAACTTTATGAAAGCTTCCATGAGCTTCTTCCTAAAAACATGCATATACAAACAAATGTTGATGTACTTTTTGGCTGTTATCAGATCCTCTAAATTTTGATCATAAGTTCCAGGATAAGTATTCTTGCCTTAAGGGCATAACTACACACAATTTCAGATAATGTAGCTTAGTACTGGCTTAACAGTAATTTGGAATCATGCCATCAGACTGACAGGTTGCCAAAGATGCAGCCATCAAAGAATGGCTGAACCCATAAAAATTAAAATTGTTTAAAAATATTAAAACCAATCAACCAACCAACCAATAGAGAATGACTGAAGACCTAAACCAAAAGTTCTTCTTTAGCAGAAACTATAGGTTGTAAAGCTATCATATATATCCACATTACAGCAATCAATCCTGGCCTATTTATTTATTTATGAGAGAGGATTGTCTCACTCTGTCATCCAGGCTAGAGTGCGGTAACACGATCATGGCTAACTGCAGCCTTGACCTCTCCAGCACAAGTGATCCTCCTGTCCCAGCCTCCCAAGTAGCTGGGACTACAGCCATGTGTGACCATGCTCAGCTAACCTTTTTTCTGACAAAGGGCCTCACTACATCACCTAGACTGGAATGCAGTGGTATGATCTCAGCTCACTGTGACCTTCACCTCTCAGGCTCAAGCAATACTCCTGCCTCAGCCCCCACCAAGTAGCTGAGACTATAGGCATGCACCACCATGTCTAGCTAATTTTTTTTTTTGTAGAGATGGAGTCTCCTTATATTACCTAGCCTGATCTTGAACTCCTGGATTCAAGTGATTCTCCTGCCTCAGCCTTCCAAAGTGCTCGTGTTACAGATATGAGTCACTGTGCCTGGTCAATGCTGGCATCTTTAAATGAATTAGATGACATGTTAGTAGCAATAGTAGTAACAACAACTAATGTTTATTAAGAATTTATTACCTGTGAAGCACTGTTATAAGTGTCTTATACAAATTCATTTAATCTTTACCGCTACCCTAAGAAATATACGTTATTTTCCTCATTTTAAAGATAGGAAAACAGAAGCTTTCTAACTATACATATTGGAGACAGGCCTAGCATGCTAGACTGTGCTAGTAACAACATGTTTCCCTGGACACAATTTGACCTAATAGTTGATTTATTAAAATCTATGTGATAAAAAAACTCACAATAACACAGGGTCCGTTAATGTTTGCTTGAAGAATACTACATTGACTAATACATTGCCTGGGAAGGGCTTTAATCATTTTAGAAGAAACACACCCCAAAACCCAAAAATGTCTGTACTTTTTCCAAATATGTACAAATACTGATCATCTACAATTTAAGAAGATAACATCAATACCAACATTCTTAGACTATGACGTTCCCTCTTAAAAACTTTCATTTTTGGATTCACATCAAAATGTTTAAGGTACCCTTCATAAAAGATGTGAGTTGAGGCAACTGCTAGGAATGCCTGAAGATACTGCCATCCTTTCATTTAAGAGGCTTGCTCCTTGGCAGGGATTTGAAATGACTTCACCAAACACATTCAGCAAACTGAATCCCCTTAAGTTCGTGGGAACTAAGCCCCCAGGCAGGGAATTAGGGTGTGGTGAATTCACTCACATTTTTTTTTTTTAACCTGCATAGGCACAGTCCTGGCTGGAATCAGCCTCAGACTTTTCACTCTTTTAATGAAAGCTGCAATTTGCACTCCACCCTCCTATTTCTCAGAGCACTTCAGAAACTGGAATATCACTGAGGCTGGAGAAAGACAGAACATTCTGGACATTATTCTCAAATGTTAATTTCCCATGCAATTGAAAATCCACAAGTAGCTAGGCTGCCAGCTGAGGAACTGCTATTATTCCTAAATCTATATTGGCAATAATATATTATGAAAACCTAGCTCAGGGCCACATGCACAAAAAGGCCTCATACAACTGTCACCTGAAAACAATGATAACATTGCATCTAGCCAAAGTCAAATTTACTTACAGTGAGGTCTCTGCACTCTTTGGGGGCTGGTGGAGTCCGACTTTATTGCTTTCTGTAAGGCTTCATCAGCACCTTCCACAGCATCTTCAAGACCTTGCTCAGAATCACTGGATTTTGATTTTCCTGCTTCATTTACATTGGACTTATCAAGGTTTTCAGACATTCTCAATTAAGTTTATTCACCTTCCTAGGAAAGAAAAAAAAAAAAGAACCAAAAGTATTCTAGCTCTGTCACCAACTAGCAATGTGACTCAGGGCAAATCATTTAATCTTTGGGTTTCAGTTTTCTTGTTTGTAGAATAAATGAGCTTGCTAAGATCTCATCCAGCTATAATATTCTACTTCAATGATTAAACAGATACTTGTAAAATGACATTTGTAATTTATCAAATTTCTGGATCTCAGATAGTTAGTTGGAATATTTTTGTCCTTCTCCTGAGTAGCATGTTACAAGAGTACAGGAACTTAAACTACTAGAAGACACACTCTAAACTGCCTGCTGCTACTACTTTAATCAGTGATTCAATGTTACATTCTTTACTTTCATTCCTAAGAGCAGATAGGTAAACTCCTTGGAAAAAATGCTTTTAATCGAGTTTACAAGTGAATCCACTAGGCTGAAGGGTTGATTCCTTGATGTTATCATGTGAATAAGATACCTAGAGATGATAGAAAATAGAATCTTTTTTTTTGAGATGGAGTTTCACTCTTGTTGCCCAGGCTGGAGTGCAATGGAGCAATCTCAGCTCACTGCAACTTCGACCTCCGGGGTTTATGAGATTCTCTTGCCTCAGCCTCCCAAGTAGCTGGAATTACAGGCATGCTCCACCATGCCCAGCTAATTTTGTATTTTTAGTAGAGACCCAGTTTCACCATGTTGATCAGGTTGGTCTCAAACGCCAGACCTCAGGTGATCCACCCGCCTCAGCCTCCCAAAGTGCTGGGATTATAGGTGTGAGCCACCACGCCCCGCCTCCTAGGGTGTTTCTAACTGAGGAAGAAGACACAATGTTTCTGCATTTGCTGAAAATAATAAACATTTGTAACATTAGCACTTGAAGATTACAAAACATTTTCATAAACGTGAATTAGACTTTCTTACATACATGGAAGATAATGAAGGGATCAAAGGAAATGTCAAGTGATTTAGGGAGTTTGGCAGACTGTGTTCTGCACATTAGAGAGATGTAAAGAGTCACCTAATAGAATTATCTGAAATTTCAAAGAACTCCATTAAATAGAATGAAGTTACAGGAACTGAAATATTCAGGCCATTTTGTTTTTGTTTTTGTTTTTTGAGACAGAGTCTTGCTCTGTGGCCCAGACTGAAGTGCAGTGGCGAGATCTTAGCTCAGCTCACTGCAACCTCTGCCTCCCTGGTTCAAGGGATTCTCTTGCCTCAGCCTCCCGAATAGCTGGAATTACAGGTGCCTGCCACCACACCCAGCTAATTTTTGTATTTTTGGTAGAGATGGGTTTTCACCATGGCGGTCAGGCTGGTCTTGAACTCCTGACCTCTAGTGATCTGCCCTCCTTGGGCTCCCAAAGTGCTGGGATTACAGGCGTGAGCCACCGCGCCCAGCCCAGGCCTGTATTGATATGAAGGTGTTTTCATGTATTTCCCCTTTCTAGTCTCATTTTAGCTTCCAGCACCCCACTGGGGACACCCATCTCCTCTCTATCCTAAATCCTGTTAGGGTCAGGAAATGCTCCAAGATCCAAAGGATAAGGTTACCAGCATATTCTATGAGAAGGGACAAACAAAACGCTTCTAATTTTATCCTCTTCACATGCTGAGAAGAAGCCCAGAAGGGATGAAGTAATTCATTCTGTACAGTAAGGAGGAAAGGCAGGATTTCTAGGTCTCTAATGCTCAGCTTAGTAAACTAACTCCATCCTTTTAAGATTGAGTTCAAGTCCTATCTCTTCCCAGCACGCTTCCCAGACCTCACCAGTGATTGTGCCTTTCTCAACTCCTATAGGGCTGGCTAGTCGACAGTTGGCATTCATCACTGCCTTCAATTCAAAGTATGCTTATTTAAACAGAAAGATGCAAATACATAGTCTAGAGGGGGAGGCAGACATGCTTACAAGGAGCCATAATGAAACTTAAGCCTTAGTGGCATTAAGAGAGAGAGCATGGGGAGAAATGCCAGATATAGGTGAAGAGGAGGAAGGCAGCAAAGCACGCTACCATGTGTGTACCTATGCAACAATCTTGTATGTTCTTCACATGTACCCCAAAACCTAAAATGCAATAAAAAAATATGCAGGTAGAGGGGGAAAAAAAAGCCTTAGTGGCATTATGAAATTGCCCGGGGAATATAACTGAGGAAGAAACTAACTCTGCCTGGGAGGAGATTGAAAAAACCCTCCCAGTAAAGATGACATTTGAGCTGATCTTTAAAAGGAGTAGGATTTCACCCTGTTAAAACATGTCTGGAGGGGGAGAAAGGAGGTGAAAAAAAAAGGACATTTCACTCAGAGGGCAGAAAATGAGAAAAGGAAGTGGCTAGTGATGATGGAAAGATGCGTTGGGACCAGATGGTAAGAGTGCTAGTTTTTATTTTAAAATTCTCCACCTAGATGTCGAACTTCTTAAGAGCCAGCACCAGTCATATTCCCCACTTATGCTCCATCCTTATATCCCCCAAATAGACATCCACGAAGTATCTGTCGACAGAGATGAATCCCTACATCATCTCTGTGATGTCAGTGTATGTGGGAGGGCTGGGCGTTGGTCTCAGACATACCTGGGCCCCAATTCTGGCTCTTTACTAGCTGTGTAACAACTTCAGTTCCTTCCTCTGTAAAATAGAGTTACCTATCTGCTTGGTTTGGGGGGAGTTGAAACGAAAGATTGTGCACAGCAAAGGCTGGCACACGGCAGGCCTTCCACAAACTGTAACTCTAATTAAAGGGCTCTAGGATGCAGCCAGGAACCATTTAATTGCTTACAGCGCGCGCATTCATTCAACCCCCACTGTATGTAAAAAAGGGAGCCGAGGGGAGGAGGATCCACGCACTTGCCAAGAAGACGGTCATCCGTCGGGGCTGCACGCGGGCCTAAGCTGGACACAAGAGGCTCCCCAGCAGAGAGGGTCTTTCAACAAAATAGGGGCTCTGTCCCCCGGCGCCGGGAATCCCTCCTCTGGCACTGAGCTCCACTCGCGCCCAGCGTCCGGATTCCGTTGTAAACAGCTGTTCGGGCCGGCGAGGGAGTGGCAGGGCCGGGAGCAGGGGAGGACGCGGGCGCGCCGGGAGGGCGGCCTCAAGGCGTGGGCCCCACCCGCCCGCGGACCCCGCCTCTTCCTCGCCTGCCCCAGACATCCCCGGACGAGATCCCCGGAAGAGGCTAAGAGATGCCGGCGACTTGGGCTGCGCGCCTCCAGAGCGGGCCTCGTCAGCCTCCGCCCGTGCTCCCACTCTCCTCACCTGCCGTGGAGTCGATGTTCTCCTTTCCGCCGCGAAGCAGGCGCGGGCCGGCGCTACGGCGGAGGCCGGAGCGACGCGCGGCCGACTGGGGCGGTTCAGCCTCTGCTCCTCCGAGGCCGCATCCCTCGCCACGCGGCGGGCGGTCCTCCCAGCCCGGCTCGGGTGGCCAACGGTCAAAGAGGCCGCTTCTCTGCATCGGGAAGGAGGAGACTGCTCTTGGCCGGGAGGCGCCAGCCCAATAAAGGGCAGCGCCATGTCTTCGTACGGAAAGGCGAGCGGCTTATTCCCGTACTTGCCGAAGGGGCTCAGTAAGCTGTGACTGGCAGTTGGCCGCGCCATGTTTCCTCAGGAAAGGTGAAAAGCGCAGACCGATGACCGCTGAGGCTGGTTTCGTGTGCGGTGGCTCCGAGCCAAGAGTCGCCCGCCACACTTGGAGAGCCGCCATGTTTTTGTACGGAAACGTGAGAGGCGTGGCCGAGTGCCCGCCGCTGAGGCTCTGGGCGGTGGCTCGAAGCTGGCTATGGCCCGCCCCACTCAGGGAGGCGCCATGTTTCCGTACAGAAAGGCGGAAGGCGCCGCCGCATTCCAGCCGCTGGGGTGGGTGACCCGAGGGTAAAGGGAGGTGGAAAAGGCGCGGGTCAGTCAAGAGAAGAAATAAGAAGCAACCGCATCGGAAACCTTCTCCGCCCGGGATTTGAAATTTAATTATGCCTTCCTCTTTGTAGCTACACAAAGTTTATTTTTCTTCTCTCATTTTGGCTGTTTTTAAAAAAGTCAGTCCGGGAGCAGCGGCCCAAGCCTGTAATCCCAGCACTTTAAGCGGTCGAGGCGGGTGGATCACTAGGTCAAGAGATCGAGACCATCCAGCCTGGCCAACATGGTGAAACCCAGTGTCTACTAAAAATACAAAAATTATCTGGCGGTGGTGGACTACAGAGTCCCAGCTACTCGAGAGGCTGAAGCAGGAGAATCGCTTGAACCTAGAGGCGGAGATTGTGGTGAGCCGAGATCGCGACACTGCACTCCAGCCCGGCGACAGAACGAGACTCCGTCTCAAAAAACAAAAACAAACCCAACTACAACATAGCAGATGGGGTGAAATGGGTGGTTTCAAACACTGCTTCTAAATAGATCACATATGGGTAGTTATTCTAACGTATTGAAGGCTGAGTGCAATGCCAGACCCTCAAACCACTTACGAATTTGCACATTAAAATATTTGTGCTTTAAAAAAGAAAAAGACAAAAACAGAAGTTCTCCAGTGAAGAAGATTCACTCTTTGGAGGAAACAACACCAAAAACCCTTGAGATACTCAACTCACTGAAACTGTTAAGATCCACAAAGTAAACATGAAGTTTTGTTTTGTTTGAGATGGAATCTTACTTTATTGCCCAGGCTGGACTGTAGTGGCTCAATCTCGGCTCACCGCTACCTCTGCCACCTAGGTTAAAGCAATTCTCCTGCCTCAGCCTCCCGAGTAGCTGGGATTACAGGCGCCTGCCACAGTGCCTGGCTAATTTTTTATTTTTAGTAGAAACAGGATTTCACCTTCTTGGCCAGGCTTGTAGGGAGCAGTGGCCATCTTGAGCGTCATGATAGCCGTCTTGTGATCTTGTTGCTCAAGCTTCTGCTTTCCTTATCTAAGTTTCACGTTCTTCTTAGTCACGAGGCCAGCCGGCAGCCTCGTCTCCATGATTACTTTCTGACGTCAGAACTCAAGAGCTTCCCGCCTTTGCTTGCTTATAAGCAGCTGCTTTGTACCTAATAAACGAGACTTGATCAGATCTTTGACTTGTCTCCATTCTTCGCGTCTCCTGTCTCTCTTAATCCCGACTCCCTCCCTAGGGTCTGCGTTGCTCGTCCCGCGGGTCGGGACACAGGCTGGTCTTGAACTTCTGAACTTGTGATCCTCCCGCCTTAACCTCCCAAAGTGCTGGGATTACAGGTGTGAGCCACTGCGCCCAGCCATGCAGTTCTTCTGAATCTAGACTAATATACCATAAAGTCTCTAGTGTTTTCAGCCCTGACTACAACTTGGAATCTGGGGACAGGGCTTTGAAAACTATTATCCAAAACTCTGAGGGATGATGCCTACCAGTTTTAAAAGGTTCTCTGGGAAAAGCAGGCTAGAACCACCTCCCCTACCTTCCATATGGCCCTGCACGATGGCTCACACCTGTCATCCTAGCACTTTGGGAAGCCAGGGCAGGCAGATCACCTGAGGTCAGGAGTTCAAGACCAGCCTGGCCAAACATCGCAAAACCCTGTCTCTCCTAAAAATACAAAAACTAGCCAGGTGTGGTGGCAGGTGTCTGTAATCCCAGCTGAGGATCGGGAGGCTGAGGCAGGAGAATCACTTGAACCTGCAAGGCAGAGGTTGCAGTGAGCCTAGATGGTGCCACTACACTCAAGCCTGAGTGACAGAGCGAGACTCCATCTCAAAAAAAATGATTAATATAACCAATCTTCACTAATTTAGGAACAAGTGAATGAATATACTCAAGTTGCACCTGGAGAGGTTACTGCAACGATACCAAAATCACTGATTTAATTTAGGACATTTCACCGGTAATCTTTTAATGTTTTGTACTGTTTCCTTTAAATATTAATATATACATAGACACATTCCAGTTTGATCTTTGACTTCAAGGACTGGAAATTTAAATTAACTTAAAGGAAGTTCACTGCAAGGCTACACAGGACTTGGAGGGAGAAAAGTGGCAGCCGCTCTAGAGGTCGGCTACTGCTGCTCCTGGACATAGGATCTCTGTCGTCACATCTCTGCTTTCTATAGTCTATTCCAGTCTTCTTTATGCTACAGGCTGGTTTCTCTACTTTCTTTCTTGATGCTCCTCACAATTTAAATTTACCTATATAGAATTTGATTGGTTATACTGATTTTTTTTAAGGTGTTGTCTCACTCTTTCACTAGGCTGGAGTGAAGTGACTCAATCTTGGCTTACTGCAACCTCCATCCCCCGGGTTCAAGCAATTCTCCTGCCTCTGCCTCCTGAGTAACTGGAATTACAGGCCCATGCCACCATGCCCAACTAATTTTTTTATTTTTAGTAGAGACAGAGTTTCACCATGTTGGCCAGGCTGGTCTTGAACTTCGGACTTTAGGTGGTCTGCCCAACTCGGCCTCCCAAAGTGCTGGGATTACAGGTGAGAGCCACCATGCCTGCCAGGACAAAATGATTTGTGCAAGGTTAGTCTCATTAACCTCTAGAGAGCCTGCCCTTGGATCAGGTGCTCAACTTTGGTCTACTCTGCTAGGATGATGGCAAGACTCACAGTTAAATAGGCATCAAGTGTCTATGTGGGGATAGGTCCCCAAGAAGTCATCAAGGGTGAATGAGAGCACACAGCAAAAGATAATCAACATTTCTAGTGACTGAGGAGGGTTGCCCTAGGCTTTCAAGGTAGCACTGGACTTGTAGTTTAAAACCTTGACAATGGCCAGGTGCGGTGGCTCACACCTGTAATCCCAGCACTTTGGGAGGCCGAGGCGGGTGGATCACGAGGTCAAGAGATCGAGACCATCCTGGTCAACATGGTGAAACCCCGTCTCTACTAAAAATACAAAAAATTATCTGGGCATGGTGGCGCGTGCCTGTAATCCCAGCTACTCGGGAGGCTGAGGCAGGAGAATTGCCTGAACCCAGGAGGCGGAGGTTGCGGTGAGCCGAGATCACGCCATTGCACTCCAGCCTGGGTAACAAGAGCGAAACTCCATCTCAAAAGAAAAAAAAAAAAACCTTGACAACGGTTGCAATAAACATGATCAGTTTTTCTTTTTATTCGATTCTGCTTATAAGGCCTAAGGTAAGCTGGTTTTACTAGTATATTTTCCATGAAATTGTCATTTTACTAGAATATTGTAAAATGTAAAATATTTCTAGGAGCATGAATGTAACTAAGCAGTTCTCCCTTCCCCTAAAGGTTAGTTTTGGTTGTGAAATAGATATGCTGTTCAATTATGTGCAAAATAAAGGTTGCAAATCAGATGGCACACAGTTGCTCTGCCCACCAAGCTGATCTTACCACAGTTCCAGTAGCTTGTTTCTGAAAGCTTCCTCTCACATTTAAATCATAAACTTACCTTCTCTTTCACCTCACTGTAAAGAGAACTGCCTTCCCCTGCCCCTTTTTATGGTGGGGGGCAGGATGCAATTGCACCCTCTTGGCTTACTGCAACCTCCGGCCTCAGGTTCAAGTGATCCTCATGCCTCAGCCTCCCGAATAGCTGAGATTACAGGCACCCACCACCACGCCCAGCTAATTTTTGTATTTTTAATAAAGATGGGGTTTCACCACGTTGGCCAGGCTGGTCTCGAACTCCTGACCTCAGATGATCCACCCGCCTCGGCCTCCCCAAGTACTGGGATTACAGGCGTGACCGCCATGCCTGGCCCTTTCCATCTTATCCATGCAAAAAAGCTGAGTTATTCCCCGAGTTATTCAAACTGGTATCGCGGCTTGGTTGACGACCAACGGTGAGGAGCCGGATATTGGGCCGCACTTACCTCCACGTCCGCTCCTAGTCCCTGGCCCCTCAGCGGCATGGCGTGTGGGACGACGCTGAACCGGCCCATGGAGTTCGAGGCAGCGCTGCTGAGCTCCAGCTCCCCGAAGCGGCGGCGCTGCGCCCCTCTGCCCGGCCCTACTCCAGACGCCGAGCCGCCGCCGCCGTTTCAGGCGCAGACCCCACCGCCGAGTCTACAGCAGCCCGCCCCGCCCGGCAGCGAGCGACGCCTTCCAACTCCGGAGCCAATTTTTCAGAACATGAAACAAGAATATAGTTACCAGAGGTAGAGACATTTAGAAGTTGTTCTTAATCAGAGTGAAGCTTGTGCCTCGGAGAATCAACCTCACTCCTCAGCACTCACAGCATCTACCTCTCCAGGTTCCTCATGAAGAAGGACCAGCCCACCTTTACCCTCCGACAAGTTGGTATAATATGTGAGCGTCTCTTAAAAGACTATGAAGATAAGATTCGGGAGGAATATGAGCAAATCCTCAATACCAAACTAGCAGAACAATATGAATCTTTTGTGAAATTCACACATGATCAGATTATGCGACGGTATGGGACAAGGCCAACAAGCTATGTGTCCTAAAGCTTTGTCACATATCTGG